CGCCCGCTCCCTCTTTCTCTTTCTCTCGCACACACACTCTCTTACTCCATCTACTTTGCGGCCTTGGAGGGGAAGGAGGAAGCCGGGCGGAGCCGGGGCGGGGGAGGTAGCGGTCCCGGGGAGGTGTTTCTCGCCCGACGAGCAGCCTCGAGTGCAGAAAGTACAGGTAAAAGTCGGCACCGGACGTGCCGGGAACGCGGGGGGCCGCGCGGCGACCGGCGGGGGTGCGGGGCGGGGGGTGCGCGGCCCGGGCTGGGCCGGGGGCGCGGGAGAGGAGGGGGGCGGGCGTGGGAGCGGAGCCCAGCCCCGGCGAGGCGGGGTCCGGGGGGGGATGGAGGGAGACTGCGAGGAGGGCATTCGGGTTGGGGTTCAGGAGACACCCGCCAAACCGATCCCCGGGGCCACCGGGCCGCCGCCTCCCTCCCCCCACCTGCTGCCCCCGCCACCGGCTCGGAAGCCCTCCAGGCCGGGGCGTGGGGGCGGTCCTTGCGGGTGTCGTGCTCGCTGGGGGCGAGAGGGGGCGCTGCAGAGGGCCCTGTGTGGAAGGGAGGAGAACATGGAAGTCGGAGGTGGGTGGTAACATGTTGCTGGAGGACCTGGGATGTCAGCCCTGCTCCCGACACTCTGCGTCACCCTCAATGGATACCTGTCTCCAGGTCCACCCAGGTCGACCCAGGTAGTGGCCAGCCTCGGAGACTTTGAAAGCGTCTTAAAAGTGGTCAAGAAAGATGTTAGTCTGGCATCTGTGAAACAATGGAGGAATAGCCTTGGCCTCCCGGAGCTGGGTTGTAGCTAACTCTGGACACAACTGTTCCAGCTTTTGGGTTCCCGACAAGTGGACAAAACGAGAAACAAGCCCCACTCCCTGGGACGAATGCCTCCAAAACGGTGTTGGCCCCAAGGTGAGGGTCAGAGTACGGAAGCTAAGAGACCAGCCATCTTCAACCAGAAGGCCCACTGATCCTCCAAGAAACCAGTATCAGCGCTCGGCCTGGACCTGCTCTCCCTAAATAAATAAGTCCGTGAACACTAGCCCTCCTTCTCAAGGCTCCTGACTAAATTGAGATGAGCACCCTGAAGGGGTGGAATTAACCTAATAGGTTAGAAACTGCAGGGGTGATTCACCCACAAGAGACTGTAGGGGTGATTCACCTACCATGAGGTTTTTCCTGTGGGCCCTCTGGGCGGCTGAAGCTTTTCAGATGGTAGATTTGCTGGCTGTTGTGAGAGAAGAATGGAGAACAGGCAAGTTAGCGTCTTGGCGTCCTGTGTGACTGGGGTCTTTCAGATGATGCTGGACTTGGTGAGGCCCAGTCATGGACACTACTAACCAGTGGGCTCAGATGGGACAGATAGGTGTGATCTTAGCACTGCTTGAAAGAATGCTGCAAGTTGACCTCAACCCTACTGCCTTCCTCGTCCTTATGCTAATAAGGAAGGTGAAGTTCGGTAGAAATCTGATGAAGAGCTTTGACAGATCATGGCCAATGTGTCATGCAAGCACTTAGGTCTGTTTCAAGATGGCGGACAACGTCTGAAACCAAAAGTTGAAGCACAGTAAAATGGGAGGTCTGATTGAGCTTTTCCAAGTATAACCAGCACTGTTAGGACATTGGTCAAGAGTAGACACTTCAGGGGCAAAGCTCATCTCCTGAGCAGTGTGGATTTTTCTGCCCATTGATACTGAGTCAACTTAGAGCTGCTCACGTTGCCTGGGTGCATTGTGAAGGTATTAAAAGGCTGTATCAGGAGCTGTCAGTATTTCTGCCTTTGAAGTTTGGAACTTATGAACCTTCTGGGGATAATTTCTTTTTTAATGTTCACCTGAAACTATCCTCCTTAACATTGGTAATCTTAATATGTTAAGGGGAATTTTCACACTGGCCACGGAACTATCTTAGCACCTCAAGAGTTCTTACTGGAGTTCGATAAACAGGACAATAATAATAATTACTTATGTGATAGTAGGTAATTGTACTAGATGTAAAATAGTTTTCCCATAGCTGATTATTTGCATTGTCATTACTAAAAGAGCTAACTTGCATTATGAGAATATAACCAATGTTAACATTTTTATGGGCTGTGTCTATATTATATAACGTATACTGAAGAATTTAATTTGGTGTCCAAATTTAGCTTTAAAAACAATTAAGTGCTGAGAAATGTACATTAGCATATATATTTCTAACTGTAAAATTGTGTGTGTAAAAAATAGGATGTTGATTTAAGGACAGATCTTGGAATGTCTAGTATATTGACCTTGAAAGACAAAAAAGAAGAAAACTGATCTTACTCTTAATTATGGTATTACATTGATTAAATATTATATTCAAGTATATAAAGATGGCTTCTTATAACCTCTAACCAAGAAACCATACCTTGAAGTGGGCTAAGAACAATGATATTTGTAATTGATGTATTTTACCTGTGTGTCTACTGACACTATCCTTGACCCTTTATAGTGAAGATACGATTTGGATTATAGAGAGTCTTCATATTCCCATTGGTGCTGTAGATAACTGTAAAGAGTAAACCTTCCTCAGATAGCTTTTTTTTTTTTTAAGGAATAGATATGATTTAGAAAATGTCAGAAAATAAAAACTTTATGTAATGGCACTCTTCAGTCATAATGAGGAAATACAGAATCAAGCTCCCTTTCCAAAATTTCGGATCTTGATAGGTGGTTCTGCTTTGTTCCCCTATAGAAGAGTTCTTATCCTCTTGTGGTGTATTATAGTCATCACTTACAGAAAGGTGATCTTAAATATTGGCTGATCTTAGAGTCAGGCATCTGGATACAAAATGAAATTCTCATTCAGACGCTCTGGTCTACATTCTGCTAGATATAAGTGTCATAAAGTGGCAGTCTGTGAGCAGGTCTGGGCTATCTATGTATTTTGCTTTGCCTCCGTGGTAGAGAAGAAAAATGGATTTGAGTATCTTTAGATGGTACTTGTCATCTCTATTTTGTACTTGTTCCAATGCTCCCTATTACCACGTACCCATTCTTACATTACTTACGTGGCTCCAGCAAGCATTAGAGTTGGCAACCCCAGGAATATAGTTGATCATTCACTAAGATGTTTGGGTATCAGGAAGACATAATCAGGGAATAAGGAGCCCAGTTCTCTTGTCTAGTCCCTCTCTGTGTCCCTAGCTCCTTGCACATTCAAATACACATTGACGGAATCAGTGAACAGAAGACCGAATTAAGGGTTTATAAAGTACGCTGGCTGACCTTTGTTATCCTTGTATTGAGTGTTTACCTTCTGTACTCTTTTCCTCCCCAGCTTGTGATCACTCAGTGGTGGTAACACCATGTGTATGGGTGGCTCTCAGTACTCTCTGGAAGGAAGTGTGGCTGAGTCCCTTTCCAGAGACTCAGACTGTTACTCATTAGAAGGATTGAATGCAACTAAGCTTCAACCATGTGGCTTTCCATGTGACTGTTGGGTGGTGTTTAACACCCCTCTCCCTTGTGATTAGCTGACAATTGTGGAGGAGGTCTCTCTCTCCTTCTTTGGCAAAATTGTTCAAAGAGAATGCTGTATATCTATAGACAAAGTCAGTAGTAGCTAAGATGGACTTGACAAGGATAGTTCCTTGTGTGTTTGTCAACAGTTTACTTATACACCCCAGAGTTCTTTCTTAAAAGGATGAAATGTGCCATATGTCTTTTTTGGGGGGAGGAATGATAAACATGCATGCATCCATCCATCTCTAATATATATATGTGTGTGTGATTATGTGTATGTGTGTGTGCGTATGAAAATACTGCCTTCCTTTCATTCCCAATAAGATAAATAACAATAATAATAGGGTAATTTTAGTTTTGTTGAAAGAAGTTTACTTTTGTTAAAAATCGACTCTGCTACAATGATGAACGTGGGCATTCTGCCTTTGTATTCTGCAAAATCACACGCTAAAAATATGGGAAAATATGGGTTTATGGGAAAAATGGGATTGAGGCAGACTGTTGAAAACTTACGGAATTTTGTAAGGGGGAATTTTGGGCTCATGCCTCCTCTCTGTAGATCGCAGGGGGCATTTGTTTCTAATAGACACCATTTTCATCAAAATTACATCTGGCCTAGGGCATAGGCCTCTTCATTCTTCTTTATTGGGAGAAATGTTTTCATAGCTTCTTCATCTGCAACTTGCATCTTCGCCAGGCAGGTTAACCTAGTAGAAAGCATAGTGGTTCTGGAAGCCATAATCTGCTACCACTCGTGTTAAAGGAAGGCACTGGAGTGCATTTTCAGCTTTGTTCCAAGGTCTTCATGTATCATTAAGTCTTTCTTTTTCTTTGTGAGTGTGCATTGCTAGATTGCTTCAGAATATTAACAAGTTAGGAAACAACATAAGAATCAATACAACTTACTTGTCATACTGACATCATTTCCCTATTTACCAGTTATACCCGAGGTAATTCCTGTCAAATGTGTAGTAGCCGAGTAGACGGTCAGTGATATATCTTCTCTGTGCCAGTATTTGAAGAAACAGGTATCTTCAAAGAGAATATATTGGTTGAGTTGGATTGATTCCTTGGCACATAGTAGGCACCTGGTGAGTATTGAATGGAACGATGATTCTCCTGTCTTTTGAAAGTTATTTTAAATTATCCCCTGTGGGTAGATATTAGCTTATTTTCAGATAGACTTTTATGTCAACTTATTCTTCATTGCGAAGATCATTTCTTCAGGGGCTTAAACTGTCCTTGAAAGGGGTTTATACAGCTCCTTGCAATCTGACCAATTGCTAAGGAATGGTTCAGACATGGTAATTAT